CCTTTTAAAACTCAGGCTAACATTTTCCAACATCCTAAAGCCTTCAGGAACACTTTAAAAAGTGAAGTTTTCTCCACAAACTAGCACCAGTACAACTAACAGGCAAAGAAAATTACTTACACCTTCCTTGCAGACACCAGGAAAGAAATAAACAACCTAGAAAACTACAATAAGATGGTTTGGATCTCAAGTAAAAGGAAAAGGAGGGAGAAGAACAATAGAGCACTAGAGAAGAATCTATTTAGAAAGCAGCAGTGAGAGCAGAAGGCAGAAAGTAAGTTGAGCATCTGTATGAAGTACAGAAGGAAAAGCAGCATCAAAGCAGAAAAAGCTCCCTTTCAAACATTACATGATCTGCAAGGGAAGCTTTGCAAGGCAATTGCTAACCCACAAGAATCCATATCCAAGACAAAATTTTAAAATAACCAGCTACAGAAACTGAATCTCCAGAGACACAGTCTGATACCATCTCAAAAAATACATCATCAAAGTTAAAACACTAGGGATCTTTTTCATTATTGTCAAAGATACTTAGGAAGAATCATTTGGACACTTACCTTGTCAAAGCTTAAAGAGGCTGAAAAAGTGTCCAAAAGGTTTTTGAATAAGGTACAAACATGATGCAAAATATTGTATGTAGGATTTCCGCCACAGCAGTGTGTTGCACTTTCTACCACCTCCACCATGCCTAAATGAGCCCAAAGCTTCCAGATACATTTCTGTGGCTCAGCAGAGCCTTTCCAAAACACAGTGACACTTGACTCCGTTGGAAACAGGATTTCCTCCATCAGGGCTGTGACTCTGCAGTGAGCTCTCCCAGTGACTAAAGACAACCAGAAGGCAGCTGATCTTCACCTTGTTTTCTACAGCAAGCATATGGCAACCCCTCCCAAGCACAGCCCTTCCTGCCCACACTTCCCTCCAGGAGAGGACAAGGGAGCAAACACATGACAGATGTTTGTCAGCCACTAAATGCCTCACAGTGCTGCAGTGAGGAGTGCAGTGCCAGGTCCTCGACAGACTGCTGCAACTGCTGCTGCAACAGCCTGTTACTGGATGCAAAGTTCAGTGTAGGGAGCAAGACTGCAGCTAAGGACTGCTCGAACAAGGAAGCCTCTGACAGACTGAGGTCTCTGGACCCCAAATGCACCTTGGCATGGATGGTCTTCCCAGTCCTCTGTACTTCTGTGCATGTGCTGAATGACTGAAGTGACCTGTCTGGCGAGGATACAGTTGCCTACTTTACTTCTGGGACATCAGAGGTTAATCAGACTTTTTGCCCTGTTTGCACTGGGCCAGGTATGCAAGACAGGACTGGTAGCAAGAAAAAAGTAGTAGGAAGCTGGGACTGGGGAGGAAGGTCCTCTGTCCAGACATTTCACTGACCTAGTATGAAACATGCAGTTTTCTTGTATTACTCTAGATGTTTTGGGCTAAATGATCCTCACCATCAGGTTTCTGCTCTATTACCCCTTCAGGCTACATTCTCCCACTTGCCAGCTCGAATCCTGATGCTCCTCACCCCTATCTTGGGTCCAGTCTTCTTGATTTCACACCTCTGATGCTCTCCTCTCTTCTCCAGATTTCTGTTTCTACTCTAGAGTTATTCCCTAACAGTATCTTCACAGAGCTGAATGAGGTTTTTTCACTGAACTACCCCCAGTAAACACCTACTTTGTGCTCCTTATCAGTGAAGACAACAGGAAGGGTGTTGAGTCTGTTGTGAGACAGCTGATCTTTATTTTGACCTTGATAGCAACCTTCTGTCTTTTCTTTTTCTTTTATTTCCTTTGCATGAAACCCTTTATTTGCCTGAAGCTAAAGGAACAAAATATTATGTGAAGCAGTAACATCTTAGGGGCAATGCAAAGCTGCAAATTCTGTTTGTGTGACTGCAGATGACAGATTTAGGAGACTGCCCGTCATTAGAAATGAAACAATGTGTTGGTGTTACAGTGGATTATGAACAAAATGCTTTTTCTTCTCCTAAGTGCAGCAAACACAATCAGCTTCCCGGAAAGGCCGTTTCCCTCCGGGCCCCACCTCCCCCACCCCCATGGAGCTGTGCCCAGCAGCACAGAGTGGGGTGGAGAACAGCAGGTCATGCTGACTTTAAAGGAATTCTCTGACTGAACTAATTTACATCCATCAGCAGAACAAAACCTCAGTGAGTCTGGGGTGGCTAAGATTCAGTGTAGACTTATTTAAGGACTTAGATTAGAACACAGAAAGTAGAGATGGAGAAGGGATCACACAGTTATGGGGTAAACTCCAGCAAGTCTCAGGTGTGTTTTATCTGGTTTACATTTAAGATAGGACTTCCACAAACTCTACTGGGAAACTATTCTGCAAGCTGACACTCCCTCTAGTTTCCTTTGTCAGTTTGCAGACTATTAGGGTACTACATTGTCCTTTTTCATCCTAACCACCGGCATCACATTTGACCTGAATGGCATTTGGTGAAGAATTAGCTAGCAGTGGCCAGCCCTTTCTCCTCCCATGCATGAATACAAGGCAGAAAATAGTTCTTTCAGGATGCCATCTGAAGCTCCATGGTATCAGCTCCTAGGGGAGGCCAGATCAGCTTCCATAAATTAACAATGAACCAAGATGCTTTCCTAGCCAGTGATCTCTCCACAGCAACTCCAAACCATGCTCTGCACACAGGCAAGCCTGCCACAGCTTTGATTTGCTCTAAGCACATCCAAAAGAGATGTTCCCTTTGCAGATCTTAGGGTCAACACTCTGCAGTGGCAATTTAGTCAGTAATTCTGATGGTGAGCAAGTAGTAAAAAAATATTTCCGATCCTCTGCAGCAGTATTGGCTCTGTATTAGTCCCAGCAGCAAGCAGAAATAATGTCCTTTTGGTTTCATGTCAAAGTGAACTAGAAGCACACAGTGGAAACAAATTTGTTGAATAAGATGTGTTTAGGAGGGAGATTGAACTGCATAAACAAACACTGACACAGCAGATAGTTTCAGTTATCGATCTCTGTTTCTGAACTGCTCCGGCTTCCAAACACTTCAAATCTAAAATATCTAGTGTATCCCAGTGATGAAAGGTAAGAAAAAACACACTCTTCTCAGCTGTACATAAACCCTAATCATCATCTTTTTTAAAAAGAAGGGAGAAAGAAAGAAAAAAGCTCAAAGGCTAGCAAAGGGAGAGGCTCTATGCTGAGCCTCTTCCCAGCAGGGTGTCACTTCTCTCTAGAGGAGACTGCTCTCATGTGCTCTGGGTGCCAATGTCTAGTCAAGTTGTTCCACTTTGGTCACCCACATTAACATCCAGAGTCAAGCCCTGGGACTGAGCCATTGACTCAAGCAGATACCCTGACCAGGCACTTGCTTTCTACAAGTACTCAGTGCTGGAGATGATGGGAGTGTGAGGATTTTGCTGACTATTTGGAGCATTATTTTGATTAAAGTGGGGTTTAGCTTAACTCCACATAGGCTTTTGCCTACCAGAACATGACAGTTTTGACACCGTTTCCCAGGAGCTGACTCCTTTTAAGCTGGAGTTCACAGCTCAAGGCCGTGGCCTGAATTCACTGACCTGGGAGACCATTTCTAGTTCTATGTTTCTGTAAGACCTAAGGTTTTGGTGGTGTATTAGCCACATTGTCTATGTCTATACATACGTTTATTCCTTTCTGGCTTTGGATCTTAATCAATTGGTAGTAAGGAATTAGAAATGCGTAATTTAAAACAAGACAGAATTTTCCATTATTTACAATGGACTAGCACTTAATACAAGGAAGACGATCGCCAAATTTGTAAGGAGCCATTGCTATACTCTATAAAGCCTGAACGAACGGCAGTGGGACAAGCTCGAAGTTCTGTGTGTGTGTGTGTCTGACACATTGTATTATGATAACAACCCATGGCTGGGGTACCATGTTAGCCTGTAAGAAGAACTAATAATGCTTGCTAGAGGAAAAGCTTTCTACAGACAAGCAGCAAATAGAACATTCAGGTATTCTCTGAAATGTTATATTTGCATAACCTCTTTGTTTTTAGCAAGCTCCAGTCTAGCTCTTGGCATATTCCACATTTTCTGCAGTCCTATCAGGATCCCTTGATTACTTGGACTTTTATTGGAAGATGCAATAACAAGGAGCCATGGCTGGGGGACAAGCCATGCAGGGCATATGCCAAAGTACAAGGAACATTGACAGTGTGCCTAGAGGTATGACTGCATTAGACAGCCTAAATCAGGTGACACCAATAGTTAATGGCAGCAACACTTGTAGCACAGGCTAGGAAACCAAATACACACCCCTGCACCTCAACAGGCTCATACAGACCACGTTGAAATATGTGCTGCCACCCTTTTACTGCTGTAAACAAGATCAGAAGCACTTCTACCTTCCAGTGCTCCAATCTCAACTCGGATTACATTGTAGACATAACTATAAAGTTAGCTACATACAGCAACATATTCACTCCAGTCCTTCACAATATCATCTATCTGGTGACTCTTTGTGACAGATGCCAGAGTGGCATTACTTTAAGAGCATTACCTGCACGTCACAATGCTTAATTCACCAGAATACTTCAAGGTCAACTGCTAGGTACTGTGTCTTGAATCTCAGTGGCAGCCACTTCAGCAGGCAGCTGCCCCTGGGTTTCTTATGCCCAAGAGGGCATGATATATGCATTTCACACACTGCTCATCACTTGCTGCCCGCTGATTTTGTATTTGGAACATAAATAACTTTGCATGCTGGTATATACAGAGGAATCAGTTCCTCCCCAAACAGAAGTCATCTATAATAATGAAAACTAAGGACAAGTAATTGTTTATAGCAAACTTTTGCTCACATGTTTAGTTTCTGTTGAGGACCAAGGATTCAAAATTAGCTTGAAATACAACTTAATAGTCAATCACAAATACATGTATTAAACCAACACCTCTCCCCATACAGCACTTTTCCCTGCTATGCCCAAACTCAGCCCAATTAAAAGCCCCGTTAGAGGAAAGGAAAAGCACCCTTACCTGCCACACTGGCTCCGTGTGCTTTCCTGAGTTAGCACTACTCTTGTAGCTGGGCTGGGAGGTTGTCTTCTTCAGGTTGTAGATGGCCACACTACCATCATAGAAGCCCACTGCCACGAGGTAGGGGTGGTCATTATGGAAGTCCAGACACATGATGCCACTCTCACTGCTGAAGACATACTCTGGGAAGGAGGGGTTCTTCATGGTGTAGAGGAGGAGCATACCGTGGCCCTGCTTCATGAAGTCATCTAAACAAGGAGGAGCTTTGCTGTTAAATCAGTTTCCGAGATCCTCTACTGCTAATCTGACTGCACTCACCTATGCCCAAAACCCACCTGAATGCAATTCATGTGGGAAGGACATCAATCATAGGACCAAAAGGTCATGTTAGAGTGCTTATATCCAAGCATCCTTTCCTCCATTGATTTGTCTTCCCCAGGACATGGGGACAATGTACTTATGCAGAAAAAACTGCTGGTTTGGCAGTTTTTTTCTTGAAGACAGGCTTGAGACGCCTTGGAGGAAAAGTGTGGAGGAAAAAAGGAGCTTGTGGACACTTATTTCTTTGGGCTAGGATTTAACTAATATTGCAGACATGCAGGCTGAACCAAGGATAGAAGCATTTCCATTTCTGTATTGTCAATATTTGATATTACAGCCTCCACTGCTTCTTCAAAGAAAAGCATTTCATTGAAGTATCTGTAAAGCATCATATCCACTGCCATTACACATAGCTGTACAATGCCCAAGCCACTAGAGCTTTATTTTCTGCTTCTGTCCAGCATCTCCTCCTTGCTTGGCATAGAAGCTCTTTTTTTTGCCATGACTTTCCAATTTATTTTCTGTTTACTCTCACCTTTCCTGTGCACTTCCTGAAATTAGCTCTTCCTATTCTCGATAGGACCATCCTTTTTTGTTTTTTTTTTTTTTAATCATGTCCTGACTGTCTCTACAATTCTCAGGTTTTTTGCTCATCTAAAAAAACAATTTCCAAATTCTTTTAAAGGGGAAAAAAAGCTGTTGATGTAGATAAGCTCTCCGAAGCAAAGAAACTTTCCTCATCTATGAAAACAATGCTCTCTCTGAGAGTATCCTAGCCATCTCTCCAAGCACTTTTTCTTACTGTCAAATGCCCTTGGGCATACAGTGTACAGGAAAAAAAATTTACTCCTTTCTGTGCTTCAAGTACCCACTATACATCCTATTTCCAGAACAGTCATCTCCTTTTAAAAGTGTTTCCTACCTTTCCTAACATTTTGACCAGCCTGCAGGATGAGGACTTGGTAAATGTGTACCCCAACACTAACTACAGAGAACTCTCCTTGGCGACAAGTTGATCCCAAATCAGCATGCAGATACAGACATTGCTTACCTCAAATTTATCAGGGACACATACAGAACATCCAAAGAACCAGTAAAGAAACTCACACACAATAAAGCTATCGCTGCCAATTTGTATTTGGATTGCGGAAATGGTCTGTTTTCATAGGTCTCTCTGTACATTGGGATCAGCCAGGAGAAATGGCTTCCTTACTCTGCAGAAAGCTGAGATTCCAATATTGGCTTTACTTTAAACATATGTGAAATTAAATAATATTTTTAACATATTTTTGGGAAGAGGGGGAAGCTTATCCCTAGAATTCTAGCTGAAAAGGAAGTGAACTTGCTTTCTCTACTGGAGCTTTGCCCTGTTCTTTGAATTCAGAGAATTGTCTTTACAATAGAATAGAATAGAATAGAATAGAATAGAATAGAATAGACTATTTCAGTTGGAAGGGATCTACAACAATCATCTAGTCCAACTGCCTGACCAATGCAGGGCTGACAAAAAGTTAAAGCATGTTGCTAAAGGTATTGTCCAAATGCCTCTTAAACACTGACAGGGCTGGGGCATTGACCACCTCTCTAGGAAGCCTTTTCCAGTGTTAACACTTTCTCAGTAAAGAAATGCTCCCTAATGCCCAGCCTAAACCTCCCCTGACACAGCTTTGACTCATTCCCACACATCCTATCACTGGATCCCAGGGAGAAGAGCTCAGCACCTCCCTCCCGACTTGCCCTCCCGAGGACACTGCAGAGAGCAATGAGGTCGTTCCTCAGCCTCCTTCTCTCCAAACTAGACAAACCCAGAGTCCTCAACCACTCCTCACAGGACGTGCCTTCCAGCCTTTTCACCAGTTCTGTTGCCTCCTCTGGATGCGTTCAAGTACCTTCACATCCTTTTTAAATTGTGGTGCCCAGAACCACACACAGCTCTCAAGGGTAGGCCACACCAATGGTGAATACAGTGGAATAATCACATCATTTGACCAGCTGGTTACACTGTGTTTGATGCACCCCAGGATGCGGTTTGCCCTCTGGGCTGCCAGGGCACACTGCTGACTTATATTTAGCCTGCTGTTGACCAGCACCCCCAGGCCCCTTTCTGCTGGAATGCTCCCCAGCCACTCCTCTCCCAATCTATCCTTGTGCCCAGTGTTACTGTCTCCCAGATGCAGAAACTCCATCCTAGGTGCAGAAGTTCTTAGCCAAGTAATGTCATCAAGCTGGTATTAAGTTGAGGTCCAGCCATGATAAGAACGAATCCCTCCTCTCCTCAGGAGCAAAAAAACTTGGGAAGGATGTGGAGATGACCTGCCACAAGTGACTCATGGCAGAATGGACTATGAAGTCAAATCAGTTAGACAGCCTTTGAACTCAACCTGTTTCATGCTCTTAATTCTCCTAGAGTGTGCTGACCAGCCAGGTGTATTTCCAAAAAGTCTGCTGGATCCTACTCATTATCTACTTTATGTCATGAAATATTGCGGATGTGGTTTAAATCACAGATGTGTGAATACTGCACATAAGTCTGGATAATATGATTGCTAAAGTACAGCCTATTTCTGATGAAAGGCAAAGTGATGAAAGTAATCCACAATTAACACTGAAGCATGGCACATAAATCTCAGTAAAACAATAACCTTCTGAGAGTAGACATATAAATCCGTTTCAATGAAGGGTGAATTCTTACCCGGAGTACTAAATTGTGACAAACCAACATGTTCTTTAATAAATGAAAAAAAAAGGGGGGGACTTATTTCATTAGCAATATTCAATGTTCCTGAACAGCAGTGACAGCACAGGAGCCTATCTATCTGTGGTATAGCTTTGAAGCATGGCCTTTTCAAGAGAAAGGTTTGTGGTTTTCAGTAAAACCTAGCAGAGCACTGCAGTGTGCCCCAAATCCTGTGTAGTCAGTTTCTCAAGATGGAGGTAGCTTACTGAAACAACGTCAGAAGACCACTGAGCACGTAGGAAAGCAGAAGGTGCAGACCCAAGAGCTGACAATGGCTGCACCTCTGCTGGAGGTGAAAGCAGCAGCTTCAGATCTGAGACAGCTTCTCTCTACTGTGTAGATGCACCAGCATGCACTGGAAGAGCAGGGAGTATCTGCCCCATGCAGAGCCATAAAATTACAAACTGGCTCTTTTGCTGATACACAAGGGCTGGAGATACTACAGATACCAGACAGTTACTCTGATAACTAGTGCCTGCAGGAGTTTTTCTTCTGCTTTATAGGGGGACACAAGGCAATGCAGCAGGAAGAGGAGACTGAACAAACTCTTGCTGTAATGACGAAGAGTTGCACATCATGAGAGTCCACAGTGCTGACCCGAGCAGAGGTTCAGACCCTGACACATTACAACTCCTAATTTGCTAATGAAAGAGGCAGATAGCATGAATACTGGTCTCACTCTGGAGAACTGAGCCTGTAAGCATCACATGCAATCAGAAATAGGTTTCAGACCAACTACTACCACTGTCCAAAATATTAACCTGCACTTCTATTTAAAGCTGGGCAGATTCAACTCAAACACTTTTCATAAAAATACCAATTTAGTGGTAGCAAAGTACCTCATTGTGGTATGACTAAACAGTCCATGCAAAACAAAAATCTGAAAAGCATCTGCATCTTTCATTCTGATGCTTCGTGTCTGTTTTAACAGATTTTTCATTGCATTTTTTCTTACCTGAATTTAAAAGAATCAGTAAATGTTCAATATCAGATCAAAATATTTTCTTTGATGGATAGAATTTTTTTTTTTTTTATCCTTCCCATTTGGTTCACCAAAAAGAAACATGAGAGAAGCATGATTTTCCTGTTTCCTCCAAAGTGCTTAGTGGCTGAAACAGTACGCTCAATGCAATCGTACCCTCAAGTTAGAAATTACAATGCTTGAGGTAAATCCTTCATTCACATAGTAAATCTTAATTGTGGGGATCCTCCATTGTCATGAATCAAAGTAGAGATTTTTACTACACAAGAAGCCAGTGCTACAGTTTCTTGTGTGATAAACTAGCAAATTACCTTCTCTTGGAGGATTTAAAACCCAAAACATTGCAGCCTTACATCTTAGATCCTGTGATACATGGCTTTCTATAAATCATGTCTGCCAGCTGTCTTGCTGATATGGCTCAGACCAAGAGATCACCGTGCTAAAGGAACCACTGCTGGTTAAAATCTGTCCTTTCTCCCCCAAGAGCCTATCTAAAAAAAGAAGCAAGATGGAGAAGCACAGTTGTGAACAGCTGCTTGTTTCTGGGCATCACAGCTGCACAAGCACATTTACTCTCCTTTCCTAGATATGCCCACGCTTTGATGAGCTTGCTGGCTGGGGTTCTATCCTTTAGTCTTGGATTTTTGAGAAGCCAAGGGAAGGGCTGGCTGTGCTTTACATTTGGTTAGGTGATCTCCTCTGGGGAGAAGAGATCAGTTTCAAAGACAAAACTGTTGGTACCCAAAGAAATGGCTCAGCTGTTTACTTGCCTTTCAGATATTTAAAGTGTAGAGGACAAAAAAGGATATCTGCAGGCCAGCAAATTTCTCCAGGCAAATTATTATTATTATCTAGGTCTACAAAACCTTGAGCACAGCCTAAGAACTTGCCTGTGCTACAGCCTGCATGGCACAGATGACTGAGCAAGTCACAAATTCATTAATTCTCAGTATTTTTTTTCTATCAGTGAGCAAAACCTGTGCAGCATGGCACTGAGCACAGGCTAATCTAACCCCCTGTGAAACATGCTGGGTGAGCTTGTGCTGCTTCAGCAAGACTCTCTCCTGGCTTATTTAAATAGCTCTGCCACCTCCACGCTTTGCTGCAGCCACAGAATGGGTGTGCTGCAAGAAAGGAGATGGCTGGCACTTTGAGCATAACTGTATGCCAATAGTTCAGAAAAATCAGGAAAGAACAAATCTTTCCAA